ACAATAATATATATTCCTTCTCTTCAGCCATGTAAATATTGTTCTTCTTTTGTTATTATCTGCTAAGCCATTAAAATTATAACTGGCTATACTTATTTCACCATATACCATAATGAGATACAAGTTTCAAATCTATTTATCATTATATATGTTTGTAAATTTACCAATAAAAAATTCCATAGTGATTGGGTGTCCATATAGCTGTACCATGATATTTGCATTGCTACTAAGTAACCCTCCAATTGTTCTCCACAAATTCCTCCGCTAAAGCCCATCCCCATCCCAAGTTGAGCCGTCATCCCAGTGATCGGCATACTACCCCCGTACCTCCGGATCCCTAGGGCTCCGAGAGGCCAGGACCCATCCATCGAAAACAGCACACAGTGCCACCCACAAAACAGAAAAAAATATATATATCTATTCAAATATCTTGCATATCTTATTTTCCATCATTATCAATTAATATGCGTAATAATGTCGGCAGTTCATGCGTAGGATTTTAACCTAAAACCCGGATTGCCATTGTATTACATTACATTTTTGTCAAGCAATTATTATTTTAGCAAACAATTATTGTGGTTCATCCTATATTCTCCATAACATCTTTACCCCCTTGCAACAGATGGGTACAGGAAGCTGGGGTCCTGCTTCCAGGAGAGTGGAGACAGGTGGTATGAGGGGACACCAGCTTCCTGTACCCAAGAAACATGTCGGCAGCCAAGACAACCAACATTTCTATTGATGTGCGTAACAACCTCAAGGACTACTTCCTCACACCAGCAGGTCAAGTGTCTTTCCAGGATGCTGCTATCACGCGTGGCACCGTACATGTGACTGAGTAAATAAGTAGAAAACAATGTGCACAAAAAAAAGCAAAAAGCAAATGACCCACCACCCTAACATATGAATAAGAGAAAAACGGGAGACGTTGATCAGCATGAATAGACACCATCCATGGTACCATGACATCGTAGACGGCCTTTGCTGGACACTGCTGCTGTTTCTGTAACTCCTGCTGCCGTTTCTTTAAGTCATCCATCCGCTGCATAATGTCAGTGTCCAAAGGATCCTCAGCTGTATTCCTCTTTCGGCCATTGGAGCTGGGTCGAGGAGATGGGGCGGAGGTTAATGAAGTTGCAGGACAGAGAGCTCGGGTGTGCCTGGACAGTGGGTTGGGTGTCAGTGAGAAGGGCCTGGGCCTTGGAGAGAGGGGCCAGAGAAGTGATGAACCATGCCGGAGAGATTATGAATCAAGGGGCGATGAACCACCTGTAGATGGACCCTCAGGGGTCAGCTCCATCTCTGGACTGTCCAAAACACCACCCCCCTCCAACACCTACAACTGATGGCGGATACATTAGAATACAATGCAAGCAATCTTAAAACATCTCCATGGGCTCCGTTGAGTTAAAATGTTTACCCAAAATAACTGATTTCATAAACATCTGAATTTAAGTAGCACACACACACAACACACTGTTTTCTGTTGTTTGAACTAGCCCTGCTATCGTTATAATAACACAGGCACTGAATATTTCCCATGCACAATTTCTCCCATCCAGAAATGAGCTGATTCCACATGTTCTAACTAGGTCTGCTAAACATAAGATCATAAAACACACACTGACTGTACAAAAGGACTCGGCTGCATGACGAGTACATACCGTATCTGGCATATTGGTGTCCGTCTGACGATGTTTCACGTGAACATGAAGCCAATCCAGTTGTCTGACAATCGGTGGGACACACATCAGCAGCAGACCCCCTCCTCATCTCCATCACCCTTTTCAGATTGTGAACATACTGGTCTGAATCTCTCTCCATGTTTCTTTTTTCGTGTTCAAATTTCGTGATATCTCCCTCCATCTGTTGACTTTTGCTTGCTTGTCCGAATACAACCGCATCGAAGGGGTGTAAAGGTGCTGCTTTCCCCAAGTCTTTAGTGCCACACTCCTTATGGAAACACAATTACACTAGAGCTCACATTAACCTTAAACACTGGCGACACACTGGTGTAGGTTAAGTCGTAGATGGAAGTGCACCATTAGGTGGAAGAGCATCAATGTTCCCCTCTCCTCCCAGGCAATTCATGATTTATAGAGGCAATCAGCATCTCCGATGGAGGAGCTGTGGTAGAGGGTCATGAGGAGGAAGATATAGTGTAGATCAGGATTCCCCAACAGGCGGCCTGTGGGCCAAATTCAGCCCGCAGGTGGGTGATTTTATTTGGCCCCCCAAGTTTTCGGAGCAAATAAAAATACCTACAGTTGAAGTCGTAAGTTTACATACACTTAGGTTGGAGTCATTAAAACTCGTTTTTCAACCACTCCACAGATTTCTTGTTAACAAACTATAGTTTTGGCAAGTCAGTTAGGACATCTACTTTGTGCATGACACAAGTAATTTTATCCAACAATTGTTTACAGACAGATTATTTAACTTATAATTCACTGTATCACAATTCCAGTGCGTCAGAAGTTTACATATACTATGTTCACTGTGCCTTTAAACAGCTTGGAAAATTGCAGAAAATGATGTCATGGCTTTAGAAGCTTCTGATAAGCTAATTGACATTATTTGAGTCAATTGGAGGTGTACCTGTGGATGTATTTCAAGGCCTACCTTCAAACTCAGTGCCTCTTTGCTTGACATCCATCTGGAAAATCAAAAGAAATCTGCCAAGACCTCAGAAAAAAAATGGTAGACCTCCACAAGCCTGGTTCATCCTTGGGAGCAATTTCCAAACACCTGAAGGTACCACTTTCATCTGTACAAACAATAGTACGCAAGTATGACACCATGGGACCACGCAGCGGTCATACCACTCAGGAAGGAGATGCGTTCTGTCTCCTAGAGATGAACGTACTTTGGTGCGAAAAGTGCAAATCAATCCCAGAACAACAGCAAAGGACCTTGTGAAGATGCTGGAGGAAACAGGCACAAAAGTATCTATATCCACAGCAAAACTAGCCCTATATCGACATAACCTGAAAGGCCGCTCAGCAAGGAAGAAGCCACTGCTCCAAAACTGCCATAAAAAAGCCAGACTACGGTTTGCAACTGCACATGGGGACAAAGAT